GTGGAATTTGTGTTTTACTCATTGCCAACTGTTTCTTTTCTTACATATTTTTTTTATTTGAAGTATACCTAGTTGAAGGAAATCAAAATGTAGTAATTCATATGCTGCCAAATAATAAGAGACAGAACTTCAATGTCACTCTGAGCCTATGTATGTTAACTTACATAGTGCCCCAGGTAAAGAATAAGCATAGCACAGAGGTTTTCAAACTGTGGGGCGCATCCCCCTAAGAGGGCATGGAGGAATGTTCAGGGGAGTGAGCGGCAATGCTAGGTGGCTCGTGCCAGCTACACGAGGCAGGGCCCAGGCCATCCCCCATGGGGGCGGGAAGGGAGTGCCACCTCCACCCTCTGATTCACCTCACCAGGTCACCCAGCCTGTGGGTCAGTGACAACATCCACCAGGGCAGCATCGATTTCCACTCCCGGCAGCCTCAGAGCCTATAGCTGGCTCCACCCTCAGAGACCATCGCACGAGCCTTCCCCCACCCTGACAACCTGAGGGGGGAGGGGCAGAGGGGCAGGTATTAGCCCTGCCCTAGTGGTTCAGCCTGGCTGCCAGGTAGAAGCAGCCCACTGCTGAGAAAGCCTTGGCTGTGCCATTGGTAAGTATCTGTATTCGAAACGTACAGGTGTAGATAATATAATTAAAGTTGTGTTAAGGTCTCTGTTAGGTTTATGAGTATGCTATCAAGCATACTTTTGCATGTGTCTATTTTTGTCTGGGTTGTGGGGGGGGGGGGGGGGGTGCAACCAAAAATTATAACTGAAAGGGAGGGCTCAGCTCAAAAAGTTTGCAAACCACTGGCATAGTGACTAATCAGAGAAACTAGGATTAAGAAGCAGATTGGTCCTGAGTATCTAGACTCCAAAGTCTGAAAAGGCCTAATTCAGCATTGAAAAATGAGTAAAGCGGTTGAACTAATAGAGGAAGTTCAGGAAGATGAAGGGTCTATTTGGAGATGTGAACCAGGAGAAAAAGCCAGGTGTTGGAGGAAGAAAGAGTTTTTATACCTGATAATTTGGGTTGAGATTTTAAGTTTTTGGTGGGCCTAGGGCCTTTTTTCTCTTCTTTGTAAATAAAGTTTGGTCAGTGAGCAACATTTTGCATTAATTTTTTAAAGGCCATGCACACAATGAAGGAAAATGTGGGCTTGCATTTGTGCAGATGTACCTGTCATATCCTGTAAACATGCAAACCTTACTGATTCTAAGCTCAGTAGTCCCAAACCAAATGGGATTTATTATATACATATTTAAACATTGAATTATCACAATTTATAACATATAGACCATTATAATATTACAAAATACAATAATGGCCAGTATATATTACTATTGGACACTACTAGCAATAGAAAATGGGTAGGCAAAATTGACAGTTAAACTGAGGTCAGACTATCTATATAGCAGCAGGTTAAAATCATGCCATTGGATGTCAGAGAGACAAGATGGGTGAAGTAATATCTTTTATTGGATCAACTTCTGTTGGTGAGAGAGACAAGCTTTCAAGCTACACAGAGCTCTTCTTCAGGTCATCCAACCCCCTTGTTTCGCTTATATCCTAGGATCGACATGGCTACAATAACACATTAACACTGCATACTTGGATTTCAGACATTCCCAGGGATGTTCCGTTGTATACAACTGAAAATTACATTAGTAGATGAATGCCATTCAACATAATTGTCTATAATAACTGAAATAATTTTTTCTCCTTTATATTTGTGACTAAGCTGCTATTTATAGTCTGCATAGAAACATATTTTATCATGTTTTATGGTGAAAAAAGACGTTTGCCCATGTTTCAATTTGTTTCGCACATGACACATCTTAGGAATTGAAATTTCGTCAGAAATCTAAAACAAAGTACAGATGTGTAGTTTTGTAATGGAAGTCTAAATGCTTTATTTATGTATTTATTAACATACATACATAGCTTGTTTCTGAGCATGGGACATGTTGATGGAATTGGAAGTTGTCAGTTTTGTCTATATTATTGGAAAATGGATTTTCAAAATTTGAGCATCTGAGTAGCTATTAGCAATCATACTGTAGTCTTCGAGTTTTTAAATAAATAGCATCATTTCAGTGAGGATGTAATTAAATTTTGGTTTAAGAGTTGTTGATATCTAAATTCTTACATCTGTGACAAAGGAAGACATTTTAAATATGAATTTCTAATTAAGTATTTGCTACTTCTTGTAGTACAAGATAAAGAATCCTAGCCTGTTCTGTAGATATCAGTGATGTATGTTGGTTCCAGTTATGATAAATGTAGGATGGAGTTTAGTTTAATTATTGGTAAAAGAATACATCATTTTTACTTCTTACCAAGTTTGTTCAGACAATTAATGTTTTTCAGTAACCATGACACACTACTATTAATTTTATTATGAAAAGGGATTAAAAGACTTAACATCCATGCAAAATTCCTAGATCATGGCTTCCTTTGTAATTTACTTACCTGTTCCAGTGTTAATTGTGTCACAATGTGTGCTGATGGAAACACCCAGTGACTACCATTCTACTATTTCAAAGTATTTCCACCAAAACATCATTGCCCAGGGATCACCCAAGAAAAACTCCTCACAACCTAATGAATTTTCTGACACAAATATTCAACTTTAATACAGAAATAATATTTAGTATAAAATAAATAATGATGGGTGAAACATGTAGTCTTTACAGGAAGGAGTGATTGTAGTCGATCTCCCAAAATGTCAGCCATCTTTGATGCAATCATTTCCTGACCCAAAGATCATGGAAGTGGCCAGCCGTCCATTTGAAACCATCCACCCACCCAGACCTTAGCATAAGCCCAAGCTTCTAACCTCATAAAGAAAATTACAGCAACCACTGGGCAACCCCCAGCAGTCTCTACCAATGGATATCACTAATACAGGACATTGATTGTCCCTATGCTTCCTTAGTATATGCTTGGTGTTAAGGACCCCTTTCCCCAAAGCTTTCAGCCAAACTCTGGTCTGATTTCTCTCCCACCCTATTTTAAAGAAGGCAAAACACCACCAGATAGATATCAGTTGGCATCCCAGCAAACAAATTGTTCTCAGCTATCCCTTAAGCCTGAATTGGATGTCCGCAGTAAAAATATCCGAATGGATGCTTGACAAATACACACTGTCAGAGCTGAGTAACCCTGGGCAATCATCTAAAATCTCCAAGATGTCATCCCATAATTAGCGGAATGCTTTTTCATGTCTCGATTTACATTTGTTCTGGCCTTGTCTAATGTGACACCAAGGAGGCTCTCCTCCATACTCACCATTTCAGCATGCTAGACCATACTACTCTGGCTAAGGAGAATAATTTCTTACACTGGTACAATCACACTTGACTCTAGCTAGCAGCCCAGACCCCAGGCTCCCCCTTCTCTACTTAGATCATTCCTGACCAATAGGACAAGGATCACGCTAGGTACTAGTAAGCATCTCTAAAAAAACAAAGCATGAGGTGATCCCATCTCCATGTTCCTGTGTGTCTCCTGTCTGGTGTGAACCTTCTCATTCCTGAAACCCATTTGCATTCCCATTGAGTGGCTGGCAGCTTGGGAGAATGAAAGCCATGCAACAAACTGGGAATTAAAAGAAATAAAATATCAGAGATCTCAGTAGTCAAATTTATTAGCTCCTAATGTGTCTCTTAAAATGACCTGGCCACCAATGACTGTGACGTCTACATTTGGAAAATCTGAACAGGCAATAGCCATGGCTGCTCGTGTAGGAAAAGGATTGTGCTCAAAACAGGCTGGGTGTGAAAACTAAAAGATGCCAAGTTTCTCCAAAATATGGCCCTGAACTGAAATTTAGTTAAAGAGGGTGTGTCCCAACACAGTAACAACAACATGGGGATTGGATGGAGGTTTTGTATATAGTCCACACAACTGCAACTGGCTATGCAGCTTCCCCAGGTGTTTTCTCAGCTGATCAGCTCCCCTGCTCCCTCCTTTTGGAAAAATATATGCACAACTCAGTCTACCTGAGCCCCACTGTCAAACCATCAGTCCTCATTGTACCTGGATGCTTGGTGCCCTTGACAGCTGGGATAACCTCACCTAATTTAAATGTCCCCCCCCCCCAAAAAAAAACTGCAGGGAAAATGCTGCTTTAATTAGTAACTCGCACTTCCCTTCGTATGATGATGATCAAGTCCCTCAAGATCTGCAGGGTGCCAAAGAGGTGCCAGTTCACCCTGTGGAATCACAGCCAAGTACACCCCTCCATCATTTGTCTTGTAACAAAGATGCAGATGGGAAATGTGCCATCTGTGAAAAGAAAAAAATAGCAAGAAGGTGCGAAGACACAGTTTCCTAAGCAATCCCACTCTCCTTTGGTCAATGGGGATAAATTGTTCCACATGTTCCTCCTGAATGGGCCAAAGGTCAGGAGGCCTGGTCTCCCCCTAAATTGAAGAAACATGTTAAAACCTGACGTACAGAACCAACCGGTGCTTGATGCCACCGACTGGTCCAACAAACTTAAACCTACTGGATACTAAGGCACCAAAGGTGTCCTGGAATCCTGACTGGCTGTCATTCCACTGCCTCTGTCCTAGCTGATGAGAATTCTGAGACTGAACCTGAGACAAATTGTCTGAACCCATGATCTCAGCCTGAGTCAATCATGGCAGAGCTGCCAATGGGAAAGAGGTAGAACAGAGCTCCACCTGTTTAGCTGGTGCACATACTTCTCCCACAGTCCTCATTTCAGCCGCCTGGTATCTCTCTTCAGAGACGCCAGCAAAGATACCCTGGCCAGGTAACCCCCTGACTAGCAAAGTTGATGTGGTGTGGGCAGGGGTGGGAGAGAGGAGATGGGTTGGGGCTGGGCTGGATTGAAATTTTAAAGTTGCAAAAGCCATTTAGATTAAATGCATGATCTCATTTAAAAAGAAGAAAACTCAGTTGGATGCTTCTATAATTATGATTTAATAATGGACTGAAGTAGCTTATAGGTAATATCTTTTTCTTTTCAAATATAGCTTGCTGATGATCAGGGATTGGTTTTGATGACCACTGTTGCCATGCCAGTATTTAGTAAGCAAAATGAGACTGTAAGTACTCAAACTGTGTTTCTACCATGTGATACTTTGGTGTCTGCAATGAAATTTAATAACTTGCAGAACTTTTTTATTATTATTTATTTTGCCTTTTGCATCTACTGTTAGAATAAAATTAAACAGATGATACATATATTTATGCACAAATAATTATAGTGTAGAAACTATAGTTCTCAAAATAGTTAATGGTGTTATGTATAAGAGAAGACACCTAGATGATGAACTTGATGCAGTGGTATTAGACCCATGTGTCTTCTTACATTTACATTAGCTTTGTTACAGCAAATAATCTATATACATTTTCTCCTCCAGACTAACTTCTTATCTCAGATAGGTCCAGCACATTAGCAATATTCATATAGGTGGTTTGAATAGCTGTATTTTACAAACCTGTTATTTTAACGTCCTGCTATATTAAAGAGAATTACATATACTTCTCCCATAATGTTTAATTTTTCTCTCTTGGGTATCAGATAGCAGTGCAAATTGGAAAAGAAGAAAAGTCACATGTTTATCTGTAGCATTTCATAGAGTCATAGAATATCAGGGTTGGAAGGGACCTCAAGCGGTCATCTAGTCCAACCCCCTGCTCAAAGCAGGACCAATCCCCAGACAGATTTTTACCCTACTACCCTAAATGGCCCCCTCAAGGATTGAACTCATAACCCTGGGTTTAACAAGCCAATGCTCAAACCACTGAGCTATCCCTGCCCCCTAAATGCATCACAAGTAGAAGAGTTTAATTGAGGGAGACCTTCCTTATCTGCTGAAAGTTTGCACATTTCCTTGATTTCATTTTCAGGCTAAGGAAAGGAGGCCAACTGCGGATGGGGTGTATGTTGTGTATGGCCAGCCACATTAGCTGCAAACTCCCCTTATCTTTTTAAGTAGTTGGCAGATTAGGTTACGGTCTATACTCCTCAGTACAATTTTTACAATGTGAAAATAATTATTGATGGCATGTGTTGTTTCAACAGTGATTGTTTATCCTTCTGAGTGGTCTGCATTTTCTTTTCAAACAGAGATCCAAAGGGATTCTTCTGGGAGTAGTTGGCACAGATGTTCCAGTTAAAGAACTTCTAAAGGCCATTCCAAAATATAAGGTAATTTTACATATGAGTATGTATTCAGTATATTTAGAGTATAGGGCTGAATTAACAATAATATTTTAGATTTATTTATTGCAAGATATATAGCACCCAGTTTACATATCCAAATTAGTGACAGAATCAGAAATGGGACCCCAGGGGAAAAATGCTGTACACACTTCTACTTGTGTTAATCCTTGTAACTCCACTGACTGACTGATGTTACCATAAAAGTCCTTATTCTCTTGCGCTAATGACTAGATCTCACAGCCCCACTGATCAAGTCAAATTTCTATTAGTCAGTGTGGGGGCACAACATTCTAGAGTTTGTACACTTTATAGTCCCCTCTATCAATAAGTGTTCATAACTAAGTGAACTTCAATAAAATAATTGTCAGAATTCCATGCTACAGAATATCACATACTTATACTAACCAGAAAATGATTTTGGAGGCCTGCATATCCTTGTGTGGAAGCCAGACAAAGATGTACTCAGTCCATCCTTAACTTTCCTTTCAGAATTCCTGCCTGCCTAGAACTTCTTGACCTGAAATCTCCTATGTCCTTGAATTAAAGCAAATGTCATCTTTTATAGACTTGTTTCACACTGTCCAACCCAGTTTACTGTTGTCTTTTGTGCTGTTCAGTATACATTAAATATTCCCATATATTTAGTTTTCCAAATGTATAGATGACACTTATAAAACTCTTTAAAAGAGCTATAAACAAAATAGATCAAGCAAAATAAACTTGGCAATCATGAATCATTTGTAGCTTGGTAAAATAGGTTAGTGTTGAATGTAAAGGTGGTACTACTTTTCATTTAGGTTTGATCCAGTATATTATTATTTCACTAGTCCTCCACTTCTGAAGTGCTAGATTATAATCCTGTTTAGGTAACAAGTGAACATTAATGTGATGGTTTCAACATAATCACTAATGGAAGTTTCTTTGCAATACAAATAGGCCAATACTGTGATGCCATACGCCTCTATTTGAGATAGGCCCGCTATTTGAATAGCAGAGGTGCTGCAGGTAACAATTAAGTTGTACTGAGTTTATTCAGAACCTACTTACTTATCTCAGTCATGCTATCTGGGTCTTAGTTACTTGATCACCTAAATCATCCAGTTTTCTAGTGGAAAAGTGGACATTATTGAGATTAGGAGACCATTCTAGGAAGTCACAAAACCAGAGAACTTCAGTTTCCAAGTTCTACTGTTAATTTCATTATAACTGAATACAATAGCAATTACTGAATGATCATGAATGATTTGCTAATGATACAGCAAGATGACAACAGACAGTTGTGGGAGCTCAAGAAATAATGAGGCCTGGTCTACACTTGAGAGACATAGCTCAGTATAGACCCCCAGTATAGACAATGCTAGGTCAGTGTAAGAAATTCTAGCTACCGCCTCTCGGGGAGGTAGATTACCTACGCTGATGGGAGAAGCCTTCCTACCAGCGTAGGTAGTGTCTACACTAAAGTGCTACAGTGAAACAGCTGCAGTGGTGTAGCTGTGCCACTGTAGTGTTTTAAGTGTAAACATACCTGGAGACAATATTGGTCAGCATTATAGGTGGTGGTCTCCCCACATTCCAGCAGCCTAACTGTTGTCAAGTTTTTTGTAGGCATCATAAGAAAGAAGAGTTTGAAGGAGAGTTTTGAAGGAGGGTAACAAGGTAGCTTTGCAGATGTTTATGGGGACCTCGTCCCAAGCATAAGGAGCAGCATGGAAGAAAGCACAAAAGTGCTTGTTTAACATTAACAAAAATGGGCAATGGAGACTGACATCATGAACTGATCAGAGGCAGGGGATGACATCTCAATAGTGAATGAGAGCTGCTAGGTTGGGTGGGGATAGGTCCTGAAGGACCTTTAAAGAGAAGACAAGTAGCTTATGTCTGATGCAATAGGGAAGGGGAAGTTCAAGCTAGTGGATGAATACAAAGAGAGGGTCACTTACGGGTTAAAATAATGAACTAGGAAAATTATCTTTGCAGCAGCATTCTGCATGGATATGAGTGGGGCAAGATTATATTTGCTAAGGCTCAAGAGAAGGATGTTGCAGTAATTAAGACACAAGATGATGAGAGCCTGGATGAGAGTTTTAGCTATATGGCTGAATACGAAAGACCATATCTTAGAGATGTTACGCAGAAAGAATCTGAAAGAGTTTGACATAGCCTGGATATGAGGACCTAGAGAAGTCTGAGTTGATGATGATGTCCAGGTTACAGGCCTAAGTGACCCGCAGTATTAGGATGACCAGACAGCAAATGTGAAAAATTGGGACGGGGTGGGGGGTAATTATAATAGGAGCCTATATAAGAAAAAGACCCCAAAATCGGGACTGTCCCTATAAAATTGGGACACATAGTCACCCTAGGCAGGATGGTGGTGTTGTCCAGAGTGATACAGAAAGGAGGCATGGGATTGTTTCTTGGTTTTGGTTTCTGTTGTTGTTTGTTTTGGGGTGCTCAGGAGCGAAAGATTAAAAGCTCTGTTTTATCTATGTTGACCATATTATATAGAGAAGGCTCAGTCTGATTCTATGAAATAATATGTCTCTCTTTCTGAGAAATAGATTGATTTCAAGGAGGTATTTTACACTACACTGTGTAACACAAGAGAAGGTAATTGTAACAGACACTTTATTATCATGCAGTTTAATTATGGCCCGGCAGAGGGGAAGTGAGCGCCGTAAGGGTGAGTGGCGGACGGGTGGGTGAAGAGGCAAATGGCGGGCGGGCAAGCGAGTGGGCAGGGAGGTGAGTGGTGGGTGGGGGACTGAGGAGGGATGCAGTAAGCCAGTGGCAAGCTGGGGGATGAGGAAGGGTACGGTGGGGGGGGGGGGTGAGTGGGGAGAGGGCGGGACCTGGGGCAGAGTGGGGGCGGAGCCTGGGAGGAGCAGGGGTGGGCTGTGGGCAGGGCTGATGGCACCCCAATGTGTCCCGATATTTTAGTGTGGTGATCTGGTCACCCTATTTGTCCTGAATGAAGAAAATGGGATTTGACTCATTAATATTTCATTCTTACATGTCACTTTGCAGTGGCCATACAAAGTTTCTTCCCTTTTGAAATAATCTATCAGTTTGAGAGAGAGTCCCAATATTTCTAACAGGGAATGCTGCTGGAAGCTTCAATGTCTCTGAAAACAGAAGAAACATTTTAAATGCAAACATTGTACATCTTCAAGCATGGCACAAACCATGACGAAGTGCCACACTTGAAGGCACAGAGCACTTCAAATAGATAAATATTGTTTCTAGGATGTATATCACCCACATCTATTTCATTACCAGACTTTAATTGTTTAGATTTTTTCTGCAATTATCACCATATAGGCAATTATACTTGAGATCTGATATTTAGCCAGATGCAAGTTCACGTGTCATAGTATAATTGGTAAAATATGTCCAAAATTGTTTTCTTTTTGCTTTATGAAGAGATGCCAAGAGCCTACCGCCTTCTATTACCCTTATTGCAACTGCTAATTCATGAAGCAACCTTCTCTATGGCAGATAGAATTGAATATATATCTGATAATTCTGAGCAAAATACAATATAAATCTCAATCAGATAGGAGCTCTCGCTGATCTAGCTATAATGCCACCCTGAGTTTTATCTTTCCAGTAAATTACAGAAATCTTCAGACTTGCCATTCTAGTTATCACTGTGAGAAATGGCTCTGACTTTGGACTGTTAACATTTCTATCGAGATCATTTTGTACTAGGACCCAATTCAACAGAGCATTTAAGTATTTTCTATAGTTCATCCCTGTTTAGTAAAGTTTTAATCATGTACCTGAATTTAAGCATAAACTTCAGTGCATTGCTGAAGATGGAACATTTGCTGAATCAGGGCTTTAATAGGGGGATAGTGATTTTTATAAAAAGTAGTTGAATAACAACAAGAAATTTAAGCTAACTGACAAACCAGGGTACATCTAGTTTGGAACGGATTGCAGTGTACTTAAGTATTTGAACACAATCACATTCCTTTATTATGTAACACATGGGTTAATTTTACAGATAAATGTTACTTTACAGTGTCTCAAAACTGAAATAACTCAGTGGAAAAGATAGTGATTGATAATCTAAATCTATATACAAATCTTTACAATGGTAACATTGAGTTATGTACAGCCCCTACAGAAAGATACTGTATCAGTGCCAAGTTTACGCTAAGGGATGTTTTAATGATCATATCAGTGATTTGAAAGTACATTTATTGTAGTCAATGGGTATAGCCAACTGTGTAATAGGGATATTATCAAAAGGTAGGATTGTTATTTAAATAAGTGCAGTGCTAACTTTGATTACTTGTACTTGTGGGCCTAATGAAACATTTCATTGCTCTCAAATGAGTTCCCACAGTTCCATTCAATCCAGAAATATAAATTACATGAACTTCTGCATTAGAATTAATCCTTGTTCTGTGTATATAGAAGTAAACTTGAAATAATTTGGAAATGAAATATCCTCAACACTGTTGTATGTAAATATCACTGATAATAGGTCACCTCTTGTTCAGCCTACTCTTGGGAGCAGTCCCATTGATTTCAATGGTTCCATTGATCTAATGCAGCCACTTGCACAAGTAGGGAAGCAGAACCTGGCCCCTCCTGTGCATTTGTGAGTTTACTAAATTCCAATATCCCTTCATTTTAGCACATAGTGTATCACATCACACCTGTTATGTTTTTCTTTTATAAATAATCTTTTAAAAAGTTCACATCAAGTACGTAGGAATAAGTATCCGAGATAGCAAAATGTATTTGTGACATTTTAAAATTGTGCTATTTACCAAGTTCACAAAATGTCAAGGATTGGTGCTTTGCATTCATTTTAATGAAATATTGTGTTGAGATAAGGGATATGAATGCCAGGTTTAAGCCGTAAATGACTAAATGTTTGGCTGCTTTTTTGTTTCAGTATTCACTCGAGACCAAGCTAATTAATACTCCTTTCTCATTTATTCTTACAGTTAGGTATTCATGGATATGCTTTTGCAATTACAAACAATGGATACATTTTGACGCATCCAGAACTCAGACCATTGGTAAGAAAGCTATTTGTTGACTTATTTTATGCATATATAGTTATTATATTTACTTAATGTGTGAAGAATATAATATTGGTAATGAAGATCAAAACATACCACCTCATGCCTGTGAAAAATGCCACTTTTGAGCATAGGGTTGAGTATAAATGTTTAGTATATTTTACAGCATAATAAAAACAAATGTTAACACAAATAATTCCATGGTACATAAATATACAAGTTAGTCTCTAAAAGATACAGACCTCTATTCTACAGAATGGCAAACCCCCAAATTGCTATAATTATGTGCATTTTACACTGAAATGGAATGCTCTATTACTATGTAATAACCCCTATTTGTCATTTTAAAGTGGATTCCAATTTAAAATATGTACAGAATTTTCAAAAAAAAGCACATTTTATAGTAAAATAAGGACACAAGGGATTTTTAGTAAAATAGCAACAAAGTTCACCTTTATTTCCTTTGTCATCTTGTTTGCATTAATCAAAATAAGTAAAATAGAAGTGCCCATTATGCAAATATTTATCGACATAATACCCTGGAGAATAGCTTCGTTCTTGATTGCATCATTGTTTAGGAACAGTGCATGCAAGTGTTCCATCACCATCAACCCTTAGTAAAGCACTGGTATTAATGAATTCACTCTAGTACACATGTGGATGCCATATGTATTTCTCAAGTAGGCACTTAGGGTAATATCTGATTTCAACAATATTTTAGTAGAAAACAGCAATATTAATTGGATGGCTAATTTCATATATAAATAAATTAGAATTATTGAAAAGTATGATTTATGAAGTCATTAGCACATCCTGCATTTTCAGTCAGCACAAACATTTTGTCTGTCTAACATTTGGATTAGGAATTACACACTCAATTAACATTTGTATTTGAGTTGATTGTTTCCTTATTTATTATTTGACTGGAGGAAAGCAAATGAAAAGATCAGCACTGGAACTTACATGGGTGAATGGAATAGCTTTTTTCTCAGCAGCTTTTGGATAGAAATGGAGAACTAAGCAAGGAGCAAGATGCACATTATAGTATCTTTAAAGGCACCCTAACAGAAATTTGCTCATTACATTTTTTTTATATAGTAAGGAGGATTTCTCTTTCTGTTAAAAGTACTTTGTACTTCCATCTGTTGTTCAAATTTGTACTGTATCTGTGGCAAGATAGTGTGTGTGTGTACCATATATGTAAACACAGGGATTGCTATAGTGGGTCAGTACCATGGTCCATCTAGTCCAGTATCTTGTCTTCAACAATTTGCAGCACTAGATGATACAAAAGAAGGTGTAAGAAACCCCGCAGTGGGCAGAAGTCTTGTAATCTGCCCCACCCCCACCCCCAGGAATGTCTCATCTTAATCCTTATTAGATCTAGAGATGTCGTAAATTTTGAAGAATAAGAGTTTACATCTTTTGTTAATATTAACTATTATAACTGAATATACTTCCTATTCATATAAATGTCTAATCCTTTTTAAATCTTATTAGCCTAAATGGCATCCAGCGGCGATGAGTTCCACAGTTTAATTACACCTTGTGTGGGAAGAAGTATTTCCTTTTATCAGTTTTTAATTTGCCACCTTTTAAATTTAATTGAATACCCTTTTTTTCTTCATGTTATGAGACAGACAGAACTGAGCTCCTGATCAACCTTCTCTATACCATTCATTATTTTATATACTTTGATCATATCTTGTCATGTTTGACTCCTTGCTAAATGAAACAATCCTAATCTTTTCAATCTCTCTTCATACAAGAGTTTTTCTATCCTCCTACTCATTCTTGTTGCCCTTCCCTGAACCTCCTCTGATTCTGCAATATCTGTTTTGGAGATGCAGTGGCTAGTATTTCAGATTAGGCTGTCCCATTGATTTATATAATGGCATTATCATTTTTTCAGTGTTATTCCTCATCCTTGTCCTTACCCATTTTTACATCTTGTTTGCTTTTTGGACTGCAGTTGCACACTGAGCAGAATCTTTATTGAGCTGTTCACAGGGTTGACCAGTTCCCTTTTCTGAGTTGATATAGTTAATTTAGAACCTTGTAAGTAGAGCCCTGAAAATCTGCAGGTATCTGCGGATATCTGTGGATGAGGATTTCCATAGACCATTTTTGCGGCTCTCAACGCAGATGCAGATACAAATTTTATATCAGCACAGGACTCTGCAGCACACACTCACCTGAATGGAGCAGCTGTCACCCAGCCTGCTGGGCATTCTGGGAGTTGTAGTCCCCAGCTTGCTCTGAGGAAGGAGGTGAACTATAACTCCCTAAACGGAATGAGCCAAGCACAGTTTTGAAGGTGCTTGTTCTTTAAATGAGCAGGCGGCAATAACTGCATGCATTAGAGCCCCCGTAACTGTGTAGGGGTGTCCCACCGCAGGAAGAGTAGCACTGCATAGAAGGACCCAGAATTGTAGCCTCCTGCCTGGAGTGAGAAAGGAAGTATGGCGGGGCAGAGCGGGTGGCTGGGCAGGAGGTCTCTTGGGAGAAGTGGAGCCAGGGGGCGGTTGGGGACTTGACACAGCCCTGCATCACTGCTGCACAGTGACCTGTGGAGCTATTTAGAGCCCTGCAAATCTGCAGATATGCGCGAATATCCACATCCACAGATGCGTCTATCCGCAGACAGTTTTTGTGGATCGGATGCAGATACACCTTTATGTATCCGCACAGGGCTCTATTTGTAAGATGTATATACAATTTCATTTTTCTCCTCCAGTGTGCATTATCTTACACTTACCAACATTAAATGTCATCTGCCATTGTGTTGCCCGTTTACCTAGCTTGGTAAGATCTTCCTGAAGGACTTTAATCTTCTATGCATTTGACTAACCCAAATAACTTTGTCTCATCTGCAGATGTTGCTACCTCAGTGCTCACCCAATTTCCAGATTGCTAATAAATACATTAAACAGCATCAGACATAGTCTGGACCCATGAGGCTCTCTGCTGTTCACCAAGATGAAAACTCTTTATTCCTATTTTTTGTTCCCTGACTCTTAGCCAGTTTTTGATCCATGACAAAATTTCGCTTCAATGTTTGTTTTTTGGTTTCAATCTTGTTTTAAAAAATCTTGCAGGGTTTGAGCATGAATGTGAACTCTGCCTGGGAGGCAGCTTTAACATGTGCAACTAACACTTAATTGGTTTCATTGGCCTTGGCTGCATTAAAGGGCTCGTAGTTTGATATATGTGAATTGGTCTTTAAGCATTTTCTGCAACGTATTTTGGATAAACTGGGTTTCCTCTGTATTGTTCCTGTATGTCTTCCTTTTCCACCTGTTTTTAGTTAACAAACCTTATTAACTGAGGAAGTTGCAAGAACATGTTTGAATTTAGCCAGGAATGCTAGTACAGTGATAAAGCACAGATCTTGTTCCTCATTATTGGAGTTGAACTGATAGAATTTCACATACACATGTAACGATGAACCAAAGAATTCTGTTCTACCCTATAATAAGAGGTTTGCATACTTTACTACTGTGGTCCAACCCTCTCGCTCTAGAAATCAGCCAAATAATAGTGGTTAGGTTGGATGACAGTCAGGGTAGTTGATATTTTTTTTAAATTCAAACAATTTGCAACCATCAAGTTCTGCACATAGCTGACCTATATAACCACATGATCTTATTATCATTGTCTGTGTCCTCCCTCCACCCATTTCCTCCCTTTGTTCATTACTCTTGTTGAATATTTGTCTCAAATTACACCATAAGCTATTTGAGGCAGTGATTGCATTTTTCTGTGTGTATGTATAGCACTTAGTAGAATAGGGCAATGAACCTCACTGGGGTCTTTGGGCAATGCTGCAATATAGATTAGTAATAATGAGGATGATCTCTTGTCTAACACATGTAGACTGAGGGTGAAATCTTGGCCATACTGAAGTAAAGGGCAGAACTCCCAGGATTTCACCAGCTACTTCTATAATGTGAAACAGCTATGCACATACTGTGTTGTGAGCTGTACCACACTCCATGGCACCCTGGCAGATTTTTCATTTATGGACTTGAGAACATCACAACAGACAAGCTGTGGGTTAATGAACGTTTTTAGCATTATCTCCTCTCCCCACTCACCACCTCCACTACCCACTCTCCAGGGTACGTATCTCACTGCAAAGAGGGAGTGGATGGGGTTGAAGCCATGAATCTACTGATCTGGGATAAGACTCAGCTCTCTTGGTGTCACCACGTCCTCCCACCCTCAGCTTAACTCTGCACTGAAGATGATAAAATGGTGCGGTGTGAGAACAGTGACCTACTTCCCTCCTGTCCTTGGTTCCCATCTTTCTTAGGGCTTCTCTACATGGTAGGATAATGTGCACTAGAGGGTGTGATTTCTAAAGCACACTAATGTGCTAAGCATTAATTGGTCCACGTAGACCGAGTTGGTGCACACTAAAGGTTCCTAGTGCTCTTTAACGTAGTACCGCTCTATAGTAAAGTGCAACAGGGAACCTTTAATGCAAACTAGCAGGTCTGTATGGACCAATCAATGCGCAGCACATTAGTGCGCTTTAGAAGTCACACCTCCGTCGTCTGCATTACCCTGCTCTGTAGACAAGCCCTAAGTGTCACCATATTAGTCCACATCTTCTTTGGAGCCTTGCAGAGGAAGATAAAGGTGTCAGTGGAAATACTTATGGCAAAAGAGGCAAGGGAGGAGGAATCACTAGGCAAAAATTTAAAAAAAAAAAAAAACTATGTGGAGGTACATGGATGGAATGAGTGGAAAGGGGGAAATAAAAGAGAAGGTAAAATGAGAAAAAACTCTTAGGTTAAATACCTTTATTAAATGAATTTAAATTTCTTTATTTTCTACATCTGTAGATTTGGAGGAAAGACAATAAGAAGGCACTAACTAGCTATTTAAGCATTTCTGTTACATTTGTGTTACTAATTGTCTTGTGTTGGTACAGTGCTGGAATAATTGGTATTCTGTTCTTATCCACTTTTTAGAGGTTGGGGGGAGGCAGG